GACAGGAAGTCTGTGTTGGCCCTGTGTTCCCCTGTACACGTGTCTCTTTAAAGATTTTCATCTCTTTCACACTGGTTTTCAGCACTTTGAGCCTTGATTTTCTTTGTTTACCCTGCTTGGAGTTTATTGAGTTACTTGAATCTTTGATTTCAAGTTTTTATCACATCTGGTGATCTTTCAGCCATTAGTTTTAAAAGGATGTTTTTCTACCCCCACCTGTCTTCTCTTGTTCCTTCAATTATGGTGTGTTAAACTGCTGGATATGTCGCTCAGATCCCCGGGGTCCTGTTTATTTTATTTTCCCCCCTTCTCTGTACTTTACATGGATAGCTTCCATTTCTGTCTTCAAACGCACTGATTCTTCTGTAGTATCTGATCTGCTATAAAGCCTGTCCGGTAAAATCTTCATTTTAAATACAGTATTTGTCATCTCTAAAAGCTCCATTTGGTTCTTTTCACACATTCCATCTCTCTCCTTGGTACATTCCTATTTTACTTGAAATCCTTGAGTGTATTTATAATACCTGTTAAGTCCTTATCTGCCAGTTCAATCATCTCTGGGTCTGTTTTTACTGCTTTCGTGCTGGTTGTGAGTAGCAGGTTGTGGCATTTTCAGATGTCTAGTGATTTTTGGAAGGGTGCCATCCACTTAGAACTGCAGTGCTAGGTGCATTTTATGATCTTCCATGAGAAGAATGGTGATGTTTGTTTCGGCAGGTTTCGCAGGCAGTTACGTTATTTGTGGATCGGCCTCATTAGGGCAGGTCTGGGGGCTACGTTAGCCTTTAATAAGGCTGAGACATGGCCTTCTGGGGGGTCTGCTGAGTGCCCCAAGTGGCTGGCATGGTTTTGCTGCCCCACCTGCTCAGAGTTCAAATATCTTATCCTGTCCTCTGTGAATGCGAGGAATTGTTCAGCTTATAATTGCCCAGCAGTGATTTGTCTGACCTCACGGAGTTCTGCCCAACGAATGTGCACATAAGTTATTTTGTCTAAGACTCTGGGCTGCGGCTAAGTGGATGTGTGCAGGCCCTTCTCTGTTCAGCTCCCTCGTCTCTGCTGCTCTTCCTACAAAACCCAGAGCCTTGCCAAACTCCCCGCCTGCCTCCTCGGTTTAGCGGGGTCGCCGTCCTCCCCAGCACCGGACCGCAGTCCTTAAGTGACGGAAGAGAGGCCCGTAAGGCTCAGCCTGTTTGTGTCCCTTCTCGGGGACCACAGTCCTAACTGCCTGTTGTCCTTAGGTCTGAAGTTAACTGGTTCACATACCTGGTTCAGTTTCTAGTTTTTCCATGGCTAGAGGGCAAGTTCCATCCCATTTGACTGAAAAGGGAAGTGGCTCCTTGTCCTTCTGTGAGGGTACTGTGTATTTGTCACACCAGTGTGCCCTTGGGCGTGGGTTCACTCTGCCTGCAATGCACCCTTGCCATTCCATCCAGTGGATTCCTATTCATTCTTGAAGGCTCAGGACAAATGTCATCTCACTAAGATTTTTTTTCCCTCGTCCTCCCTTTCTAATTAATTGCTCAGTTGCCAAGTGATCAGATCACTTGATGTATAATTTCAAACTCATGTATTTATGCATAGTCTTAAAAATATCTTTCATTTTTCTCTTCCCCACTAGTACGTGGAATCTCAGGCGTACTTCTTTATAATTTATCTTTCTGTCCCTAGCACGTAGCACTGGCCCTCTAGGATATTTGATTGATGTTTGTTGAATTTGAACAGTGGGAGAGTGGAGGTGCAAGCTGAGCCTCTAAGGAGCGTAGAAATACTGGTTTAAGTAGAAAAAGGAGCATTTGGTATCTGTGGCTGGGAGCTGTGATCCAGGTGAGGTGCAGGCAGCCTGGGAAACTCAGCTGCTCTTAGCTGCTAAACATCATTCTGATGGCTCTGAATAATGTTGACAAAGAAGAGACTTATAACTTCCTGAGGACCACTCGAAACTTGAAATCCGAAGTTCTTAACATTTCACGTCCAGTTTTTGCGTAAAATTTCCTGAAGTCCTTGAGTTAACTACTTTGTGAAAAATATTTGGATCAAAAGTTGTATGAATTAACTCAGTTTCTGCATAATTAGAAAGTAGCAGAAAAATAAGCGTTCCTGGAGTCCAGATGCTGTCAGAGAGCGTGGAGGTCTCTCTGTGGTCAAGGGCAGAGCCAGCAAAACTCCCCGCGCTGTTCTGGCTTCTGTGCGGAGGAAGGTGCTTTGTGTGAAGTGGTTGTTAACAGTCTCAGATGTTCTGGACCATATTTGACAGATGCTCTTAACATCTCTCATTGTTCCATAGCAGAGTTTCATTTAGTTCCATTAGTTAATGAGTCAGGCTTCAATTTAAGCAGGTAAAATGATGTGATGACTGGACATGGTACCGAGACGGCATGTAAGTCTCATTGATCATTCGAGGCCAGTTTCCAACTGCTTTCTAGTCACCTGCATTCAGAGTACATCCTTGAAAAGTCTTTAGAAAACTAGCTTTGTGCTTCACGTTTTGTGCTCATGTGAAGTGCTTAGATTCTTGGGAAAACAGAGAGGAAACCCTTTTGTTAAGCAAGAATGGGCAGACATCAAAGTGCAAAGGACTAACAGTAAATTGTTCTTGAACTTTAGGTAAAGAAATCCTGGTACTTATGTAAACTGACCTTTTGTTGAATTTTCCTGTGGGCGGTGGGTATTGAGCTGATGGGCCCAGAGGACAATGAATTGAGATTGAGAAGCTTTTGCAACCAGTATGCAGTTCTCAAACAGAGGCCTCTCTGAGCGGCCTTGCAGGTTGTGGCCTTGTGTGCGGAGGACTCAGGACCACACCCTACATCCTGGTGCATCCGCAGTGCTTAGGACCGAGTGGACTCCGCTCATATTGAGTTTTGCTGCAGGCCACTAACTCCATATTAACAGTACACAGTACTGTATAGTGTAATTTACTCTTTAGTTTTGCCGTAAATGCTCACCATTCCCTTTCTTGTCAGTTATACATCACTGTAACATTGCCTGAATATGTGATGTCTGTTTCACAGTTCATTATATAAAAAGCGTTTCGATGCTCTCGCATGTGGTTTTCTGATCTTATAATTAAAATATAATATTTTGTTGAGTTTAACAAGCTTTAGGAGACATCCTCTCCCCCAGCATCTGATGGGAGAAAAGAAATTCTGATGCCCAAGTCCTATGGAAAGCAACCTAGAGCAACAACCAGGTTTCAGATTGTAAAAAAAAAAAAAAGTGTGTGTGTAGTAAAGAACCGGTTATACAGATTTAACCAAAATGAAAATCTTAATCAGCCAATGAATCATTTTCTTTCACTCTCATCATCACCTGCAGCTAACCTTAAATATATTCTCAACTGATTCCGGGGAAAATTTTCGTTTTCTTCTCCGGACAGAATTTGGAAAATAGGTTGCCCTAACAAAAAAGAAGGAAAGAAGGAGGCATGGAAGGAAGGAAAGACTGTACGTTATCTTATGAAAAGGAAATGGTGTAGCTTTTGTTTGACAGCAGTGTGGCTGCTGGAGTTATGTATTTCACATTAATTTCATAGCAACTTCATGGAAGCAGTCCAGTCTTTTTTTTTTTTTAAACACATAAAGGAAATTTTGAGACATGACATGAGTTCTCATTATGGTAAGAACAAATTATCTGTGGAATTACTGCTGAAGGGAAATGAAAAATTTTAAATGGTGATTTTTCTTTTACTGGCAAAATTATTTGGAGGGAAGAAAAAATAACTGAGAAGCTTTGGCCAAAGGGTACAGGAAAGTTTAAATCAGTCTTGCTCTTTTGGTGACCTCAGTCATGTCTACTAAAACTTTCAGTGCACTTAACCCCCTTCCAGCAGTTTCATTCTGGTACCTACCTTGAGGACTGTGATGAGAGTGAAAGAAAATGATTCGTTGGCTGATTAAGATTTTCATTTTGGTTAAATCTGTATAACCGGTCCTTTATTATACACACACGTGAGCAAACTGGAACCTTAGTAAGCCTTCTCATCACAGCATTGTTTATAGTCACCAACAATTAGAAAAAATTAAATGTCCTTCAAAGGGGAATGGCTCTTTAAACTACGGTTTATCTAGTCACGGGGTTACAGGAGTTAAAAATTGTGAGGTAGGTGGATAAATATAAAACCATCATGGGAAGACTCTCAAGACATGTTTAAGTAGGAAAAATGTAATATAACTGTATCTGTACAGTGTGTCCTGTGTTCCCATGTATTTGTCTTTAAAAATCCACAAAATTAATTATTTTTGTATGCATTTAAATATATATATATTTTTAAAATATCTCTGGAAGGGTGGAGCAAAGTGATAACAGAGCTTACCCCTAAATGTGGCTCTAGGATTGGGGCAAGGGACTTCAGTGGAGGGCGCTTGCTTTATTTTCATTATTTGCATTTTTTACAAAAACAGGATTTTTATGGATTCTGTAGCCAGAACTCCTTGAGAATGTTTTTACTTGAAAGTGTATTAATACGTTTTCCTATTAAAGTTTAGTTCTCGACGTTCTTAAACTGACATTTTTAATTAGCTTTGGAAATGCTCGTCTTAGCTCATATTAAAAACTTGACTTTTTTTATTTAAGAAAGAAGAACAAATGGATTTAGGCATGTAGAGGGACAAAACTTTACCCACACTCAAATTATAGTTTAAATGAGAGTATTTACGGTGTATAAATATTAAGAACATAAAGGCTAAGTATTTTTAGAGAGTCCTTTTTCTTTCTATTTAAAATGCGCTTCTCTGGGGCGAGGGTACCGCTCAAGGGGCAGAGCGCCTGCTTAGCGTGCACTAGGTCCTGGGTTCAATCCCCAGTGCCTCCTCTAAAGATAAATAAGTAAACCAACTACCTACCCCCCCAAAAAAAATTTTTAAAAATCAAAATGGGCTACTGCTTAATGAAACAAATAGGGAAATAATCATTCAAAATAAAATAAAATGTGCTTCCCGTCTTCTCTAGTGCCGCTGGGGGTGAAATCTTTGACCAGTGTGTTGCGGACAGAGATGAAGCCTTCAAAGAAGAAGATGTGCAGAGGCTCATGAGGCAGATCTTAGAAGGCGTTCACTTTTTACACGCTCATGACGTCATTCATCTTGATTTGAAGGTAAACTGAATTACGTTCTGGTTCGGAGTTTGCTGGAGAATGACACTCGCCAGATGGGAAGTATTTTCAATGGTGATTTATTCATGCGTTTATCAGAGCTGTGTGTTTTATTAGGTAACAAGGGCATCAGAGTTGAGTCTTCGCTTTTACCCTCCAGCCTGCTTTATCAAGGAGAAAATGCACAGAAAGATAAATAATCGTACATTGCCCCCAAAAATGGAGCTGAGAGGATGTTGCCAGGGTCGGGGTAGGTGAAGGCTTCCTGGCGGAGACAGGGCTCGAGCTAGACCCTTCCGAAAAGTTAGGATTTAGCTAGGTAGAGAAGAATAGGAGAAAGTTAACTCACAAGAGTTAGGAATACTTGTGATGTGTTTGGGCAAAAATGAATGGGATTGTCCCGCTGGAATTGACAGATGAAATAGGCAATATTGAAAGTTGAGACAAGGCCAGGTTCCAGGGGTTTCAAGTGTTACGAAGAGGTCGGGTGATTTTTGAGCAGAAATATTTGAAGAGCAGTGTTGTGGGAAGTTAGGCAGGCAGCAATAAATAACATAAATTAGAGAATTAAAGAGATCCGAGGCAGACATATTTCTAATTTGAAATTGTCAGAGAATGAACGGGGGGAGGGAGGAGGGGAGAAAACACAAAGGACAAGAACTCAGTTACGAGGCTTCCAAGTGAGCAGGACGCCGCGGAAAGCAGGGAAAGCCAGAGAGGAGCCTTGAATGGCCAGAAAGTCCAGGGCTGACTCTGACTTCCGTTGTAGCCCCGTTTTCCTTCAGTTCCCAGCTCTGTCTCCTCAGAATGGCAGTAAGATGGTGGTGAGTTGGATGCGCCTCCCCATCCCATCTTTTGTTGTTTGTGGACTGAGCGCAGGGCGGGGATGGGTTCGCAGACCAGTACTGTATCGCAGAGAATCGAGGATGGTGCTCAGGGGAGGGACAGTAGGACCACTGTAAGGATTCAGAGCATGAGTCAGCAAGTTTCAGATCCCTGTTGGTACTCTGATGGTTGCCTCCCTATCGAGTCCAGGGGTGGCTGCGGGGAAGGGAAACGGTCAGTCCTCAAACGCAGAGCACACCACAGTGACTCCAGAGCTTATCAGCCGGAGGAGATGGGGCGGGGGCGGGGAGAGGGCTGGAGCCCCTGGACCCCGAAGGGCTTTGCTCTCCCAGACCTCATCTCACGCACCTGCCCATCCACCTTGACCTCCGCCAGCGGTGCTTCCCGGTGGAACGTGGATGCTGATGGCGTTGCGTCTCCAGCTCTGGCCTGTTCAGGACCACCTGGAAGGGGCTTGTAGAACCAAGTGCTGGGCCCCGGCTCCGGAGCATCTGAGTCAGGGTTGGGCCAGGTGATGCTGATTCTCGGAACCAGGCACCATTGTGACAACCACTGCTGGGCGGCACGCTCTGTGACACCCTGACACGTACCAGCCGGCATGAATAACAGGGCTTGGTCTTTGTTTCAGGAAGGAGCAATCTCAAGGAGGGGTGTCCCATGTGTCACCTCAAGGTGACTTGAAAAGTAAACCTGATTAAAATTCTACTTGAAATCAGGTGGAAGGGTAATAGTTACTCCTTCAAATACTAGTTCCGTCCAGAAAAATGCAGGGGAAAGAAAACAATTAGGAAAACTTGCTTGTTCATTTCTGAAAGAAGCCAATTTAAATTTTCTCCAGGATACTTTTTTCTGGTAGAGTGTCTAAAGTGGACGGTTGCCACACAGTAGGACGTGGTAGTGACAGTGGCATTTTGGAAGGCAGGTGCAGACGTGTGTGCACCCACGTGTAGTCCCACGATGCTGCAGTGGCCTTAGAGGTCACCTGGCTGAATCCCTCACAGCGCGGGCGAGGGAACTGGGGCTGTGTTTTTTCCCTTTAATCTGTCGTGTGCGTTAGAAATTCAAAGATCCCGACTGCAAGACAGTCTCACCTGTACCTCCCTTGGGAACACTCGCCAGAAGGGGATGGTCTTTGCAATTCAGATTCCCGTGGACTCAGACTTTAAGAGAAGCATCAGTTGGTATCAGCCACGCAGAAAAATCCCCAAAGTAATGTTAGTGTTATGCCTTCTCTCCTGTTTGGCTTTGCACATTTAACTTTGTAAAGCCGTACAGTTATCTTTATGATGTTTTGCTAGTTTTATGATGTAAAAAGGACTTCCAGGAATGGAACCCTGACTTAAATAATATTACACCCATAGGAAATGAGCTTTCCATTTACGGCAGCTCAACCCCCGACATTATTCAAGAACCAGTTAAGAAGCGAGTCAGACAGGTTGCCAACACCATGTGTCATGGATCTTTGATGTCACTTGAAAGCTGTCAAGGGCGAACATTAAGTCCTTGAATGCCAGGTTCAAGTATGTATTTGCATGAGGAAATTATATCCCTTTCTCCCCAGTGCACCCAGTGTGGAATTCTTCCCAGAGTTAATAGAGGCTTTGATGACGCGCCTTTGATGTTGGAAACAGGACTCTCCCTGCTTCCTAGCCCTGAGGAACTAGAAGACAGGGTGGCCGGGAAGGTCCGCAGCCTTTCTTCTGCCCTCCCACTCCGCACATGCGCAGTGGGCGTCGTCTCCAAGTGCCTTGAGAAGGGGCGGGTGAGATGGGCCTGGGAAGCCAGCACTGCAGACGGAAATGACTTCTGCCAGGAGGTCGTTTCCAAGTAGACTTCTGTGACCTTTATAAGTCTGGATGAAGACTTTTACCAGCCATCTGCCCAGAGACAATTTGTTTATAATGTTGACTCTCAGTCTAGAGTTTGAAAGACTCAGCTATCAAGCTAAATGCGTTCCTTTTTT